AGCACAGGCAGCCTCTAAATGTGCAGGTTTTCCCCACACCAACAGGCGTGTCAGTCAAAGTGCCTCGGTGTGTCACGAGTGACACGCGTGTCATAGGTTAGCCATCACTGGTATAAGGCGACTCTTTTCAATGTCCAAGGCATTCCCCACCTCCCACAAGGTTCCATTCCATCCACACTTTCCCTTTTTCCATCTCCACTTCCCCCCAAGCGTACTATTTGTAGACGTTCAGTTTCTATCCGTTATAGCCATCAGTTTAATACGTTTTTCTCAAACTAGTACGACGGTACGCAGGTATTCCAACTCCTATCTGCTGGTTAGAAATGGGAGTTGTGATTCCATCACTTTTGGACAGTGATGGGATGCTGTCGGTTTAACAACCGGTTCAGCGGTCGCGCGCTTTGCGCACATGCGCAGCTTTCAACAATACTTACCTTCTATGTTATTTTTGGGGAGTAACACAGCTGAGACACGGCAATTCGCTCTGCCACCCGAATCATCTGAGAGGACATAGGTCAGTACAGCGCAGGGATGTGGTGGGACGATTTGATTGTCGCAGAGAACTGGTTCGCCCAACAGCTGATCGTCGGCGCTAGATGTTCGCCCGAACCAGGAGAATCCCACTGCTGCTTCTGGAGAACAATAGTTTGAGGAAAGCAGATATTCACCACAGTTCTTGTACAATCTGAGGCTAACCCTATTCTTGATGATAGAGGATCTCGGGAAGATCCAACCTGATTAAATGTCTGTCTGTCTGTCTTGCAGTGAGGTTCAATATGTAGTGCTTCAGAACGTGGCCACCATGTCCATCAAGCGTAGGGTAAGCACCTCTTTTCTTTTCCAGGTGGGAATTATTCACGTGGCCCTACTACAAAACGTGGCTCCAGATTTTATGGAGGTTTGTCACATTCCACTTAATCAATATCAGCCAGAGCTTATTCCATTTGTCAGAGAGGGAGCAACTATAAATCCTGAGGGGAATCTTTTTTGACTTCTAGAAACCCAGAGAATCTTGTGGAAATTTTTAATAGCTGAATCTGTTTCTCTCTCCTCCTCCTCCTCCTCCTCCTCCTCCTCCTCCTCCTCCTCCTCCCCCCTCCCCCTCCTCCTCCCCCCCCCTCCTCCTCTCTCCAGGGAATGTTTGAGCCCTACCTCAAAAGCTTCTACATCCGATCAACTGATCCCACCCAGATTAAGATCCTCAAGGTATATTAGATGCTCAGATATCCCAAAATATATCTGTTTCCAAATAATGCATTTTTTTCTTTACAATATAAAATACTACCAACTAAAGTAGAGATGAAAAAAGTGGAAGATTGACAATATTGTATGTTAATGAAGTTAATATGTGATGAAAATTATATATGATACAAAGCCCTAATGTGACTTGTTTACACTAATCCTAAACTTGGACCCCAGCTATGTTCATTAGTTCATTTGCTGAATGTTACATCTGAAACAGGCCACATGACTTATTGAACCTTGGCTTAAGGTCTTTTTGTGTCTTCTCAAAAACAGACTATATGTAAGTATAAAGAGGTGCATAATCATATACCAGCTGCAAACCTAACAGTGAGATTTACTTCCAAGTTTATAATTTAGGGCAGGGGTCTTCAAACTTGACAGCTTTTAAGGCTTGTGGACTTCAACTCCCACAATTCCTCCTCCGGTCATGTTAGCTCAGGAATTCTGGGAGTTGAAGTCCAAAAGTCTTAAACTTGCCAAGTTTGAAGACCCTTGATTTAGAGCAAAAATGAACGAAAAAGGAAAACATATAGTTTTCTGGTTGACTGTGGGCCAATCAAAAGGAAAACATATAGTTACCCCAACATATAGTTGGCTGTTTTGTTCTCTTTAGAGAACAGCTAGCAAATTCTCTTCCAATTTCTTCTATTACTTTGAATTTTGCTGTGCCCTAATACTGTAGATTGCCAATCTTTACTTGGCTCAGTTCTAATTATTGGCTTGCATTTCTGCACGCTCAAAGAAGCACTGATGTTAAAAGACATTCAAACCTCACCCGTTCTGCTTTTTTTTTCCCCCACCCATCCTGCCAGCTGGAAGTTTTGACCAACCTGGCTAACGAAACCAACATTTCTACCATTTTGCGGGAATTTCAGGTAATGTATAGAAAATTGTAGCCCAGGGCAATTTTCTGCCTCAGGGCATATAATGTATATAATAATGAACTTTTCTATCCGAAGCACTTATTTCTTTTGGTTTTGATACATTTTTGTTTAAAAAAAACCCCATTTGTTCCTTCTCTTTCTGCAGACTTACATCCGGAGCATGGATAAAGACTTTGTGGCAGCCACAATCCAGGCCATTGGCCGTTGCGCCACTAACATTGGCCGAGTGAGAGACACGTGTCTCAACGGACTCGTTCAGCTGCTCTCCAACCGAGATGGTGAGATCTTGCTTTTAGAAATTGTTAAGCCTGAATTCCCCAACGAGTGTTAAGGAAAACAAACTAAACAGAATGTGTAGCGTAGTCAGATAGGCAGACAGGTAAATGTGTGAGATAAGTTTGTATTTTAGTTAACACGCAGTAAAAAACAGATACGCTTGTGCTATCAAAAATATAGTTTATTCCATTAGGAATTATAGCATAGTCAAAATAAACGGTCCATTAGTCATGTATCATTTCAGTCAGTCCAGTCGAGGATACTCAATTTGCAAAGTCCGTGTTGAATAGCCAATGTCAGTTCACTTACAATAAATCAGTCCGTATTATCTCTTCTCTCCGTTGAGAAATCAACACTCCTTTCTCTCCTCCGTTCCAGTAAGGAAAAACGCAGTCATCAATCCATCCAGTAATTAGGGATCATTAAGCCAGAGAGAGAGAGCTGCAATTGACTTGCTTCTTTTATGGTGCTTTTACAACCACACCCTTAATTACATTCTTATAGTTAAAGTTACACACACTTTAACCAACAAACCATGACAACTTATTTATTATTTTTACCCAAACCAGTTAGGGTAAACAATGTTATCCCTAACAGAAATGACCTAATGACTTGCAATAATGTGGACGAATCACGGAACATACTTAGGGGTGTGTGTGTGTGTGTTTGTGTGTTCGATTATACTCCAAAGATGATGGTCAAAAAATGGATAGAACTGTGACGCAGGCAATATTTTTGATAGATTGATTGATTAAATTGAAATCTTCCTCCCAGCTCACTCCAATGAAACTCTGGATGGCAGATATATCAATATAGAAAAGAATTCAAGTGCAATTAGACTACAACAGCAATTAATAGACATCGGACATCACTGCTGTGCACTATACCTTGTAATTCCTCCTCCCTTCCCACCAATTCCATTAAAAATGGCCCATTTTCCCACACATGGAAATGGAAAACTAGTGGCCCATTTTCAAAGATGCTCTGGAGGTGGTGATGTCTAGTTTTGGCTTTCAGACTGTGCACTGGATCCATGTAGATGATCCCCATTTAAATCAGAAACTAGAATCCTGTGCTGTTTCTGGGGTCGTAGGTTAAGAAAGGGAGGCCAGGTATGTGACCTATTGTCATGTCCATGAGAGGAACTCTTGTGAAGTTGCCTGTTGATGACTTTCTCAGATCTCCTGAGATCTTTATCTCATTAAGAGTTGAACTGGTCTGGTTTATGTCTGCCTTTGTATCTTCTCTATCATCTTACTTAGAACTGGTCGTGGCCGAGTCGGTGGTGGTCATTAAGAAGCTTCTACAGATGCAGCCATCCCAACACAGTGAGATCATCAAGCACATGGCCAAGCTGACAGATAACATCCAGGTTTGAAGAAGAGCTGAGCCTCTACTTGGGTGGCATGTGATGGACCATGAAAAGATGTTGAAGGGCCAGATATCACTTTCTTTTGTGTATAGGTTCCCATGGCCCGGGCCAGCATCTTATGGCTGATTGGTGAATACTGTGAACATGTGCCCAAGATTGCCCCAGATGTTCTGCGCAAGATGGCCAAGTCCTTCACCAGTGAAGAAGACATTGTGAAGCTACAGGTTATCAACCTAGCAGCCAAACTTTATCTGACCAACTCTAAGCAGGTAAGGTCATTTCTAAAGATAACCAGGTAGTGTAGGTTTCTTGGCTGGTACCTAGAGGTTCTGCCATAGAGAAGTCAAGGAGATACATATCAAATGTCTCCTTTACTTTGGGTAAAACAGAACGTAGGTAGACATGTTTTATACTGGAACTATTCCATGTCTTAGAATGATAGTTAAATATTTCAAAAAGGGAACTATTAATACATAATAATTTTGCCATCAAAGGTTCAAATATCAGGAAGTTTTGAAAAAAAAAAAGTCCAGAAACTGTTGGAGAGGCCAGCTATATTAACTCTAATAAGTAAAGAGTTGATTCAGTCAATTTGAAAGTCCAGCTATGACTTAAATCCATTTCTAACCTTAAAGATAAACACTTACATGTTTTAGTAGATGGAAAGAAGAAGAAAAAACAAACAGAAACAGTTGTATTTTAACAAAGCCAGAGATCCTTGCAAGGCACATATTTTTAAAAATAAAGCCAAAAGAATTCCAGATGGAAATTCTGGCTATTAAGAGCTGGAAGAAGCCAAGAAAATCCAGATTCCAATGATATAAAATAATTTCCTTGCAATATTCAGAGTGATGTTTATCTCCATGGAAGAGATTAACATGTTTTACAGCTGGAAGATCTAACTTGATTATATTTAATCATTTTAATTTTATGTATTGAATACATTTTGATTTTATTAATTTTAATTTTATTTATTATATTTATGTATGTAATTGAAATCTCCAGTATTTCTGGCCTTCGGTGTAAGACATTGCCAGGAATTGTCCGCAAAGTGCCCAGCTAGTAATTCGAGACTGACCCATCACTTCCATCTTGTTTTCCCTGCCCCATTGCTCTGGCACCTACAGAGCAAGCTGCTGACCCAGTACGTGCTGAATTTGGCCAAGTATGACCAGAACTATGACATTCGGGATCGTGCCCGTTTCATACGCCAGCTCATCGTACCCACGGAGAAGAGCGGTGCCCTCAGCAAGTACGCCAAGAAGCTTTTCCTGGCACAAAAGCCCGCTCCCATTTTGGAATCGTCTTTCAAAGGTAAGGCATGGCAACAGACCAAAAACACAGGGACCATTGAAGAACCGTGGTGGCATATGGCTTTCAAAACGGGGGGTGGACTTTGCCAGTTGCTTCTCCCTTCCAGATCGTGACCACTTCCAGCTGGGCTCCCTTTCACACCTCCTCAATGCCAAAGCGGTGGGCTACCAGGAGCTTCCCGATTGGCCGAGCGAAGCCCCAGATCCATCTGTGCGCAACGTGGAGGTAGGACTAGCCCTTCTCTTTCTTGATGATGGGATGTGGGGACCCTTGAAGCTGGTTCTACTCCTTGATATTCTGAAAACGTTGGGTGTCAACATGTCAATGATCCAATCTTTGACTTGTGCAAGAGTCATTTCTTGTTGTGGCAGATGAGGGCCACCGTACCTTCTTCAGGTTATTATGCTTGCATAATCCAGTGGTGTGTATTGTTCTGTTTTTGATGAAAGGTTGGTTCCTACACCCCATGCTTATTTTTTTAGGAAGACTCCATTGATCCTAGAGGAAGCCACATTGGGCTACTGGGTGGACCCAAAGAGGTGGAGCTTGTGTGTGCAGTGATAGTTTATGCTTTTCCATTCTCCTCCTCCTCCTCCTCCTCCTCTTCCAGCTTCTCTCCCTTGTGCTGTGCATCTCTTGACTGTGTGCTAGTTAGGACTTCAATCCTAAAGATTGAAAGTACGTTTTGATGGACTCAAAAAAGGGCCCGGATTTAGCTTCTGGATTTATTTTGAAAACGTGATTATAAAAGCTACAGGGCTGCTCTTAGTGAAGGCGTTCCACATTTCCATTCTCATAGCAAATCAGAGAGGGATGTCGATAGAAATTCTCCACCATCCAGGTCATGGTTGTCCCAAAGGGGCTTTTTCAAAAGGCAACTGGGCTTTCCTCTGTTTTGTTTTTTCCTTGAAGACGTTTTGCTTCTCATCCAAGAAGCTTTTTCAGTTCAGTGTCAGAATTCTGGGAGTTGAAGTCCACAGGTCTTAAAGTCACCAAGATTGGACATCTCTGATCTAAATTATGACACACACTTTATGTCACCCAAGAAAATGTTTCAATCGTGGTCAAAAATCTATCCCGGGCAGTTAAAACAAGGGTCTTCCAACTTGCAACTTTAAGACACGTGGACTTCCACTCCCAGAGTTCTCCAGCCTGCATGGAATTCTGGGAGTTGAGGTCCACAAGTCTTAAAAGTTGCCAAGTTTGGAGAGCCTTGAGTTAGGAGTTAGGCTAGGAGATGATGGGAAGAGATTTGGGGTTTCTGAAGGGATGCTAGGTGGAGTAAAAATGTAGCAAGGGTGTGAGGAACCTGTAATGCTCCAGACAGAGGTTCTTGAAGTACAGTGTCCCAACATCCCAGCCAAGGGGGCCATTGTGGGAATTTCTGTCCAGCAGCATCAGGAGAACCTCCAAGTTTTTCCTCCTCGAGAACAGGCCTGCTTTTCAGGTGCAATGAAATCTCATTTTATTGGACAGGGTGGGGGGAAGTGGCCTCCAGATCTTCACCAATGTCCATTCAAGGCAGGATGGATTGAATCACGTTCGTCCCTGAGTTCTTGCAAGTCTTGTGGTGGAAATTTGGTCCGTTGCATGCCACGTCTGACCGTATTCACAGGCCACTAAGACTGAAATGTCACTGAAATTGTGGCTGTTCACAGCTCCTGCCACGCAGCTATTAGTGCATGGCCATCATGCCGACCTGCAGAATTACGCAAATCTTCTCTGCCTCATCACTCAGATTCTCACCTTAGCTGACCCTCTTGAGGGCTGCATCCCATGAACATCTTCTAGACCCCCCCCCCTTCGATAAGGGCGCATGCCTCTTCCCTCTCGTGGCCTCATGGCGTACATGCACTACCAGCTGCAACCAAAGAGATGCCACGGAATGTTCCTCTCCTGCATGTTGATTCGTTTGGTTGTTTTGCACCAGGGTAACCTTTGTGCAGGGAATCAATCCATGGCCTCCAGTGTCCGAGTCTCGTTTTCTTTGCTCCTTTGTGTGTAGTAGGTTTATTTTTGACGTTGCTCAGCTCCGTCTTTGCAATGATGTTTCCTACGTCATGGCTCCATCCAGGTCCCGGAATGGACCAAATGCACCAGCCGCGAGAAGAGGAAGGAGAAGGTGGAGAAACCCTTCTATTCGGATTCAGAGGGAGAATCGGGAGCGACGGAATCGGCGGACAGTGGTGAGAACGGCGGAGGAGGGCTTCAAGGGGAGCGCAAGCGGTCCTCCGTGTCAACTCATAAAATATTTCTATGGTCTTTTTAGAATTGCCAACAGAAAGGGTGGGGAGGAGCAGTGCGGCAACTTGGAAATTGAAAGTGCATTCCATAAATAGTTCTCAAAGATAGTAATTAGGTAACTGAAGTTTCTGCTGTGCAAAAATTCTAACTAGAGAAGATGATTGATGACTCTTGGCTATGGATGTGTCCCATTGGAGAATATGAATTATGATCCACCCAGGGGGTGGAGGAAAACCAGGTCAAAGGTGACAATGAATTATGTGTCTCAGAGTCGGCTACACCCAGGCAGTGCCGGACATGTTAACTCCCAATAAATCCTTTTGAAGTTTGGCTCGAGACTCATAATTGAATTGGGGTAACTTCTGGAATCCTGACACTCAGCTTATGGTGACTGTTCACTTAGCAACTGTTTGAAGTACAAGTAGTCCTTGAGTTATGACCATAAGAGCCTCTGTAGCACAGTGGCTAGAGTGCTGTACTGCAGGCAACTTCTGCTGACTATCGGCTGCTCAAATCCCACCAGGCTCAAGGTTGGCTCAGCCTTCCATCCTTCTGAGGTGGGTAAAATGAGGAGCCAGATTGTTGGGGGGCAAGACGCTGACTTTGTACACCACTCAGAGAAGGCTGTAAGAAAGTTCTTGACTGCGCTGAAATGGACCTACTTAGACAAAAACTTAAGAGATGAGGTAGACACAAAATATACTAGAGCTTGGGAAAAAAAGGAGAAAAACCAGGAAATTAAAAGATAAAGATTTGAAAAATGAAATGGTTAAACTAAGAGCACATACCCAAAATAGAAAATGAATATTAGTAAAATTGTTTTCAAGAAATGATCACGCCATCTTAGCTGATAAGAAATAAGTTTGATGTCAATATTTATATATTGCTTTCGTTTCTAACGAAACATGGTATTTTACACTGTATATATTTTTCTTTTTAATCTTTAACAAAGTTTATTTTAAAATTAAAAAATAAAAGAGGGAGCTGTCAAAGCACCGTGAAGTGGTATAGAAGTCTTAAGTTCTATGGCTGTTTACTAAATCGTTTTTTTTTCTAAATCCTGCCTTTATTATTTTAATCCATCATGCTCAAGGAGGAGAACGTAGCTAACCTCAGAGTCCTTCGCTCTTCTCTTTGGCTTGCAGACCCTGAGACCATGAGTGGATCCGAAAGCGGAAGTGAGAGTGGATCGGGATCCGGCAGTGAAGAAGAGGATGAGGAAGAGAGTGAAGACCAATCAGAAGAGGAGGAGGAGGAGGAAGAGGAAGAGAAGAAGAAAAAGAAGAAGGGGGAAACTCCCCGGAAAGGTCTGCTGGAGTGCGCTGGCAGGTAGAGTCACCGGGCGAGGCTGGCATTGAATGCAGACAAACAGGGATAGTTTGGGAAGTCAACTCTGCTACTTGGGCTGGGCCACAAAGACAAAAATGCAGCCCACCCTTTTTTTAAAAAAAATGTGTGTTGCACAATACTTAAAAAGGGATGAAGGTTCAATTACATGGTTGCAGTCACCATTTTGACTTTTTTGACCTCCCCTCTGCAGACACACTAGCTGGAGTTGATCAAAGGTCTGGAAACTAAAACATATGAAGAATGGCTGCAGGATTTGGGTCTGGCTAGTCTAGAGAAAAGAAGGATTAATAGAAGAATAGAATAGAATAGAATAGAATAGAATAGAATAGAATAGAATAG